ATATTCTGTTGTTTACTTATTACGAGTATTTTGGTTTTCCTTATGTTAAGATCCAGACCTGCCTCCCTACAACTCTCAACGACACTATCAAGTAGTGTTTGCAGATCTTCTTGACTAGAAGCTAGGAGTACTGTATCGTCCGCATATCGCAAATTATTGATGACTTCGCCGTTCACAAGTATTCCTTCTTGTTTTTCAGAAAGTGCTTTTCTGAAAATTCTTTCGGAGTAAACGTTAAAAAGCAGGGGTGACAAGAGGCATCCCTGCCGTACTCCTTTTTTTACTCCGGCTTTTAATATTGAGAGCTTGTGATTTCACACCATCTACTAAAACTGATGTTGTTTGATTCCAATATAAATTTGCAATTATTCGAACATCTCTGCCGTCCAAGCCAATGTCTTTTAGAGCTTCGATCAATATAGAGTGCTTAACACGATCAAATGCCTTTTGAAAGTCAATAAAACAACAGTATATGTCCACAGATATATCACGACATCTTTGAGCAAGTACGTTCATTCCAAACAGTGCCTCTCTCGTTCCAAATCCGTTACGGAAACCAAACTGACTGTTATCCAGGTATTCCTCACATTTATTGTAGATACGACCATGTATTACCTTCAGAAAAATTTTCAATAAGTGGTTTAACAAACTGATGGTTCTATAATCAGCACAGGTTTTTGCTGTTGTCTTCTTAGGTAGAGCTATAAACAGTGAGTTAGACCAACTATTAGGTAGTTGTCCGCTGGTATAAATGGTATTGAAAAACGAAGTTATAGCCTCTAAAGCATTGCTATCCTTTATAAGCTTATATATTTCAGTTGGAATTTCATCAGGACCAGTCGCTCTGCCATCTTTTGATGATTGTATGGCCTTTATAACCTCACAGCGTGTTATTAGGGGTCCGTCGCAGTTAGTAATATCGGGAGGTGAAAAACTCCTATCGTCTTCGAATAGGTTCGTGACGTAATTTTCCCATTCTTTAAGTTTGTCCTCTACTTCGAATATTACTTTACCATTTTCATCCTGTAGCAATGCATTTTGTTTCTTATTGAAGATACCAGCCGCTTCTTTTACTTTTTTATACATGTTAAACGTGCCGTATCTTTTTTCGAGTTCTTCAATGTCATGACACTGTTTGGCTAGATGTTGACTCTTTGCTTCTCGTATTTTACGTCGAATTTCTTTTTGTATGCTGTTGTAAAGTGTTTCGTTGGTTTTTGCTAGTCGCCGTTGTTCCATCAAATCCAGTATATCATCTGTCATCCAAGCCTGCTTTTTTGGCTTTGACCTGCCTTGTAAATTTCTCACACAGATTTCTTTTACTGTCGTTACGATTTTATTTAAGCCCTCATCGACGTTTTCTAGCTAGACTACGGCAAAGTCTTAATTTCTTTTCATCTTTCCATATCTTCCTTTTCTTTCTCTTCTCTGATTTTCCTTTTTATTGTCATATTTATCATTTTATACCTGTTTCGGTCAGTTTTAGCTTCTAATCTTTCGTCCACCAGCTTCAGGATTTTACCTGTAATCCATAATTTTTTCATGAATAACTTTTCTGCCTTTAAGTGTTTTTCCTTTACATTTTGAAGTATTTCTGTAATTTGATCTTTTCTGCTTAGTTAATTTCTAATTGCAGTCATTTAACGTGACTTAAACCCATGTTTTCTTATTAAGATCTTTCAGAATACGTATATAGTATGATCTTGGTTTCCTTTTCTGCATCTGCAATCTGCTCTTATCGCAATTTGTAATCTGTAATCTTCTATCACTTAAAATGTTTTTATATGCTGAAAATTCGTTGTGAACGCATATTTAAATTTTACAATCATGTTCGGGGTCATTTGTAACTCCGTATCAGTATTTCCTGCAAAAACCAAAGCAATTTTTTTAAGTTTTGAAAAACTTTATACTAAATAATCTTCATTATTAGCCATTTTGAGTCTAATACTGATTATAGACCTCCCGTAAATAATTCCATTGCATTCTATCTTGGACACCTTGAATCCAGTTGGGCTGGATGCGCTTGATGTCCGAGCATCTTGTTGGAGAACGTCCACGATTACGAAAAGCATCGTGTCTAGATCTCTATTCTAAATTTTTTTAGGTCCATCTTCCATCTCTAACTCTGGCAACATATCCTGACCAGTTCCATTTCGCCATTGTAATTCTTTTAACTACATCCGTAACACCAGTTTTTCTTCCAACTATTTGATTTAAAACTCTATCTCTACGTGATATATTCAACATTGCCTTCTCCATTGCTTTTTGTCCCACTTGTATTTTGTTGATTACTTTTCTGGTAAGGGTCAATTTTTTACTCCATCTGTTAGAACTAGGAGTACACACTGATCAACGAGCTTTCTTTTTAAGCATATGAGAATATCTGATCTAAAGACTTCCCCTTAATTTTCCGTAAGCTGTCTATGTTAGTCCTATTCTTCCGTTTAACTCTGTTGTTTGATTGTTTCTTCCCAATTTGATCGCGTGGCCTAGATACTTATAGTTAGACACTTAATCAATTTGCGTGTCATTAGTTGAAATTTTTTTGGCTAGTACTAGGTTGGTCATGAATTGTGTTTTGGAAAAAATTATTTTTAAGGCACTTTGTAATAAAGCGATGAATACTTTAGGAGAGATGGTGTCTTCTTGCCTAGTATACTTCTCTAAGAGAAATGTGTTTTTACCACCATCGTGTATTCTGACTGCAACTGTTGAGCTATTACATATATTTCGAAGAAGCGTTGTGTACCTATGATCAATATTGCACTCTATATGAAATCTTAACATGGAGTTATGCTAGACTTATTCAAATGTTTTCTGAAATAAATATCATGGCTTGTTGTATTCTATAACTTTATATATTAAGAACTTTATTACTTGCAGGTTCCAAAGCCACTCTTAAATCCGGCTTGTTTTAGTGGGTGGTGAAAATATAGCTTAGATTTCAGCCTGTTAATAATTATTCTCGTAAAGAGCTTATATAAATGAGATAATAAGCTGATATGACATGATATGATATAAGCTAATTTGACCAGTAATTCCAGGAATATTATCAATGGGCTCTTCAAAATTGTTAGCTATTATAATGTTGTCCTATAATGTCCTTCCTTGTTTTTGCATTTTTTTTTTAATTTCTGCATAATATATTGCAGCATGCAACCACGTCTCCCACCCTAAAAAAACAGGTTCAGGTGGTAATGGGATGTTCAGGTACTCGTTGCTTGAAGAGTTGTATATATAAAGCCGCCTTAACAGAAACTGTTTTTCCATTTTCAATCATAAAAAAAATTTTGCCTTATAATTTCCAACTCTATTTAAGCCACGAGCCAAGCAAGTACAATGAATTACATTTGGGTAAAATACAGATCGATTTAAGGAGTTGGGAGAGGTCTATGTCCAAAAATGGATGATAGAAGGCTAAGAAGAAGAAGAAGAAGAGATAAATTTGAGATTTTTCGTATCCAATTTATATTAAGGTTTTCTATCTCCTGTTTTAACTCAGGAGAAATAGTTACTTCAAATTTATTATTTAATGGATTTGTTTTTACAAGTCTTGTTGTAAATGAAACGTTAAAGGCAAACATTCCAAAATTACCCAAAAACTTTGTAAATGATAAACAAATGTTTGACAAATATTGCGTAATCTATCAAAGGTTTAAGCATGTTACTAAGTAGGTGCGAAAAGTATTTAGCCTACAAAAGAAAAACGAAAATTTTGGAAAAGTGGTGATTTATTTCTCAACATAGTCTGCTTTTAGCTCAATATACGTGACCCAGCGATGCCCCAACTTCTTTAACCCGTCTGAAAAATACGTATTCTCGAAGTCTGCAAAGTGGGGCAACCCATAGGGCAATCTATGGGGCAAGCCATATACTTCCGTGGCGTCGATGAAAGTTTGGCAACAAAAACAAGTTGCACGGGGCAAATCTGGAGAGTACGGTGAATGGGGCATCAGTTCGTAGCCCAATTAGAGAATTTCGCCATGGCGATGGCGGAGCTATGAGCAGGTGCGTTGTCATGGTGGAAGAGTACTTTTCGTTTTTCCTGCAATTTGTCGTCCAATCGGCCCAAAAATTCGGCATAGTAGAATCTGTGACCCTTCTCCAGGTAGTTAATGTAGATTACCTCTTATCAATCCCAGAAAATGGTGGCCATCACCTTTCCGACTAGTTCGCCTTCTTCGGAGCACGTTCGCCGGGTACCGTAGACTGTTTTTACTGTTCCTTGGTTTCTGGTGTATACCAGTGGATCCATGTTTCGTCAACGGTTGTGAAAAGATGTATAAACTCCTTCGAATTACGGTTAAATAGCGTTTAACTCTGCTCTGAAGTGATCTCACGGTTGCGCTTATTGTTCTCATGCTTTCTCATGCCTAACATTGTATGCTGGATATGATATACGCGGTTATTTGCGATGCCTACTTTCTTTCTCAGCTATCTCGACCACCTTTAGTCGGTGGTCTGCCTATATGAGATCATGGATTTTTGTCACGTTATCCTCTGTGGTATCTATTTTCGGGGCACCGAGGCATGGTTCATCAAAAACCGACATGCAACCACGTTTAAACTCAAACCAATTTTTGACAGTTGCCATCAAGGAAAAGAGTTACCGTTTACATTATCCAAGCGCTCTTTGATTTCACTGCGCGATTTCCCTTCCAAAAACAAGAATGGAATTACCAACCGATATTGCTCTTATTTTTTCAATTTTTCTAAAATCCCGCTTTTTCACACAGTCAAAATAAAACTACGACTCTGATGAAATTTTTAAAATCAGCCACCTACAAGAATATATTACCATATATTACACAATAGTAGATTTCTCTTAAGGTAGTGGCGCCATCTGGCGGTGAGGCTATAAGTACTTATCTGACCGTCATGTAGTAATTTACAATAATGTTTTTAATTTAAATTTTTAATATGGTTCTGAAACTGTTTTCTTATGGTATTTCTACGTTATTTACTATATTTAAATTGTAATCCGTATATCAAATTTTTAGAATAATATGGCTGATATTAATTGCTGTAGCATTGGCGTTATCGATCTATTTTATAAAGGAACAATACAACAAATATGAGGAAAATCCATTTATTGTAAGCTTTGCCACAAGAGATACATCTATATATGAAATACCGTTTCCAGCCGTCACAATATGTCCTTTTTCAAAGTCCAATCGTAGTATATTCAACTATACCAATGTTGTTCATAGGCTGTGGGATAATTTGACAATATCCAGATATGAGTAAGTTAACCAAAAAGCTTAAATATATTTTATATTATTAAATATTTTAAAATATAAGTTACACTTCTATATTGGAAGTACGAAGTAGTGAATATTATATTATATATTCGCTCCGTGCGTGACCATGGTAGGGATACCTTGAAACGATGCCAGCGTGCGTAGTGGCAAAATATGACACAATTGGACCTATCTTTTTACGCATAAATTTTATCAAAAATGGGTGCAAATATATGTTGCGTATTTAATTTGTGCTAATAATAGCAAAAATAGTAGTAAATATAGGTTTCTAAAGATTACATATACATTAGAAGAAAAAAAGATGGATTGGTGCTATTAATATGAAAATATAAATATTACATAATTTCATTTTTATGAAAAATTTAAATAATTTACCTTAAATGCTATTTCATAAGGCTTCAAGCTAACTGCAGCCTGTCTGATGACGTTAGTTTTTGTATCATAACTTTTACTATTATTGTTTTTAATTACATGATCTTCCACATGAAAAACTTGATTTTCCATTACTAGATTTTTTCCTTTCTTCGCCGTTTTGGTTAAAAAGATAATTTGTGATGAATTTTTATAAAGCCAGTTTTTAATACTACACTTATTTTGTACATAAACTGAAAAAATATAATTAAAAAACTAATTATTAATGATTGTCAGTTTCGTATGTATTTAACATATGTTTAACCTCAAACTGGGAGGTCCAAAACTGTCAGATGAAGGCAATAGGTGTCGCGTCAGTCACTCACGGAGCGAATAGTACGCGAAGTAGACCGACAAACGCTGTTTGCGATGTATGACGTAACGTTGTACGCGGCGTACGGCGTTTATTCTTTACCGCAACCTTATGTAATAAATAATACGTTTATCTCGCACTGGACAAAAAACTCATTTATTATAGGTAGTTATTACATAGACGGATCTTTGATGTTTCATACAACTTTAAGATTGTTGCAACTAATCTAAAATAGTATCTATTAGTCAATTAGGAACACTGCGATATTTTATATTGATGAGAAATTGTTGATGAGTGATGAACAACATGTTCACTGCCCTAACGGTCACATAAGCCGACCATATGACATTGCTCACGCGCCATGGCGGTCATATAAGCTAATAGTAGGTTAGTCAATAAATCTAGCTGAAACTCAGCTATGATTTAATGTTAAATGCAAGTGAAACGTGACTGCTCGAAGAATGCCGTTATGTAAGTTTCGACATAAGATTAATTTTTTATTTTTATTTGAGATTTGATTTTCTATTTGATTTATTTTATTTTTATTTTTTATTTGAGGAGATTTTTATTATATTTTTTATTTTATTATTTTTATCAAACACTCTTCTTGAGGGTATCCTAGAGTTACAATGATGGAAGTTTAAGCTAGTCTTACATTCTCTGTAATGTAAATGACAATTGTTTTTAAGTTTTTGTCTACTAAGATAAATGACACTAACAGTGTCAATATCTGTCGCTGGAATTAAATTTTTGTTTACTTTTTCTCCGAGCATATATTATGTTGATTTAGCCAAATTGTCAACGATTTCATTGCCTTTTATTCCCGATAGGCCTTTGATCCATGTAATTATTACATTTAATCCTAATTGTATAGTTTCATACAGAATTTTAAGAATTTTCAGTTCAATGTTGTTTATGTGTTTCGACTGGTTGAATATTGTTAAAGCTGTCGACCTCGCAATCTAATCTTCAAAACCTACAACATTGAAATTTCGATTTTGTGTTTTGCCAAGAATATTGTGCACTTTCCAAAAACGTATAACCTATAATCGTGTAGTCGAAAAAAGCACTTTTAGATCGTTTGTAATGTGAAAGTTTAAATTCAGCCTTTTTGGGCACATTTCAAATGCCTCATATTTGTTACCTAAACTCAAAACTGAAACAGCATGCTATGAATGGGGAGTAGAAGATACTTGGCAAAAAATTAAGAAATGCATCAACGAAGCAGCAGAAGAAGCGATTGGAAAGCGGAAAATTAACACGAGAGTGACAAACCACACCAAACCGTGGTTTTGCCAAGAGGTAAAAGAACTCTCTGAATTAAAACGCAAATGCTACCTGAGATATAAAAGCACGCAATCGGAAAAAGCTCATGCAGAATATGTCCAAATAAGAAACGAAGTAAACGCCAGAATAAAATCAATCAAAAGAGAACATTGGGCCAAATTCACTTGCGACATGGACTACGACCTATATGGTGCCCAAAAGAAAGTATGGAAAATGCTCCGCAACAGGAAAAACCAGTTAACGAGTTCGTACAGACCAAAGGAGTACCTATAGAGAAATGGCAACAGCATTTTAAAGAGCTATATGATGCTGAAGAAACGGTGAATATAAACGAACGCGAAACAGATGTGAGTGTTACAATCAATGACGAAGAAGTAGAAGCAAAGATCAAAAAGCTAAAAAACAGAAAATCACCGGGAACGGATGGTATACCCAATGATCTTTTAAAATATGGAGGCCCGGAACTCGCAAGTAAACTGGCACAACTATTTAACAAAATATTAAACAAAACAGAAACACCAGAGGAATGGCATAATAGTATCACAATCCCCATATTTAAAAAATGACAAAAAACCTGCCCACAAAACTATAGAGGAATAACCCTCTTAAATACAACAATGAAACTTTTCACGGGTATTCTCAAGGACAAATTGGAAAAGCAAATCACTAATGCTGAAGAACAACAAGGTTTTACAAAATGGCGGTCTATAACAGACGCAGTATTTATAATAAAACAAATAAAAGAAAAAGCTATAGAGTTCGGCATGCCAGCGTATATTTGCTTCATTGATTTGACGAAGGCATTTGACAGAGTTCGCCTGGGAGACATTCTAAATATATTAATAGAAAATGAAACACCGACCAGTATAACAAAGATACTCCATAAACTAAATAACAACAACGTAACCAAAGTTAGAGCAGGAGACGAATTCACTGAAAACATTCCAACACCGGGAGGAATTAGACAAGGCGACAGTTTAAGCCCCTTCTTGTTTAATCTTCTCATGGGCAAAATTATCAACAAAGTAACATCTCTTAATCTCGGATATAGAATGGGCAACAAAAGAATTGGTATGGTGTGTTACGCAGACGATGCAGAAATTATTGCCGAATCAGAAGATGATCTCCAAAGGCAGCTCTTTCAGTTCTTTCAAACAAGCCGACTACTAAATATGAACATCTCTACCAACAAAACTAAATGTATGACAATAGCAAAAGATCCGTTCAGATGTAAGTTAGTGGTTGAGGACAACCCCATAGAACAGGTGATGCAATTCAGATATCTGGGCATAGATATATCAAGCACCCACGACCCAGTAAAGGACCTGAGGAGTCAGATCAACAAAGCATCTGCACTGTCAGGATGTCTGCGGGAGATAGTCTGGTCAAATCCGTATACCTATGCGCACAGATAGTAAAATTAGAATCTATAAGACTTGCATACGACCGATCATGACATATGGCATAGAAGTGCGCGAAGATACTAACAAAACGAAACAGATGCTAAGGGTTGCCGAAATGAAAACCCTAAGAACAATAATGGGGAAAACAAGAAGAGACAGAGCGAGAAATACAAACATTAGAGAGCAGTGCAAAATTCAAGATATTGTAAGATGGGGAAGGCAGCGCAAGAGGATGTGGTACAACCATGTAAGACGAATGGATGACATTAGACTCCCAAAAATTGCCCTAGAAAACAATCCGCCCGGTTCAAGACCCCCGGAAGACCACCTAAAAGATGGAGGGATAGTTGGCAATCTACCTCCCAAGAAATTAACCAGAGGCAGCTTCAGAATTAAACAGATCGAAAGATCTACAAAAAGTAGAAGAAGAAGAAGAAGATTTTTGTCGAGAGGACACTCCAATCAAAAGATATCGAATTCTCCGTCGAGTTGATACATATTTGAATCTAAATTGATTTCGCGCGTAACTGACGTTTAAAATCGCTAGTTGCTTCAAGCGTTATTTATGAGAGAACGATTAATTCTACACAAAAGTGCTAATAAACATTTTTGTACAAAATTATCTACAGATCGCTTGGTAAATCAATTGTTTTCTTACGTAGGAGAATGCCGGGGGATAGAAGTGGTAAAGGTGGGATAGAAGTGGTTTATTTTTTTGGAGTCCCAAAATTAACATTCTTAACAAAATTTAGCTTGTTCGTATGATTTTCAGAGGTTCAGTGGCATTTTCGTGCTTGACGCCTGGAGTATGTCTTCGCCGTAAGTATCTGAAATTAAGAAATAATCTAAAATCGATTTCAATTATTGGTCATAAAGTAACTACTCACCGTTTTGTGACTATTTTATTTTACTATGTTTAGGAAACGTATAGTACGCTGATTTGGAAACATTGTTAATGGATTTATAATCGTATACCAACGTATCGTTATACAAACTACAAAGAATGCAATATACAAGACTCCAGCGCATAATAAAAATTACACCTGACTTCTTGGCTTATAACGACGTTAATAAGTTATTCATCATCATCAACCTGTATGCGTCCACTGCTGGACATAGTTCTTTATTAGCTCTTTCCATCTGCCTCTGTCTTGTACGGCTGGCGTCTAGTTATTGCTAACACACTTCAGGTCGTCTCTGGCGGTCTCTTAGAGAGACATCCAACATCTGGCGATTCATAGCCATCTGAGTCACGCGAATCTTATTAACTACCTTTGAGTGTTATTGTTTCCACCTCATAAGTGAGTACACACATTGATCAAAGATTTTTCTTTTGAGTCATATGGGTTGATCCGATTTAAATACATAGTTTAATTTACCAAACGTTGCCCAGGCTAATCCTATGCGACATGGGAGCTCACATGTCTGGTTATCTCTGCCCAACGGAATTTCATGTCCTATACTTATACGATGTAGTTTGCGCAATATCCCTTCCATCAACAGCAATATTTTGCTTTAGCCCCAGCATAGTCATTTTTGCGTCTTGTTCATATTAATCTTTAGTCCGACCTCCAAGGAACCGTGATATCAAGAAAGAAAGAAGCTAAGTTTGTCCTTATCCCGAAAGATAGAGGTGAAGAGGAAGAGGTGCGATTTCGGCCAATCTTGTCTCGTTGCCGTACTCTTCGCTGTATACAGAATTTATTTGTTCCTTGTTCAGATAGTCTTACGCTAGCTTTGGCATTTTTGTAGATATATTTTATATATAACATTTTGTGATGGCTTATTGTATCGAATGCTTTCTCGCAGTCGACGAATATCAGTGCCAACGGGTTGTTGTATTCTACAGACTTCTCTATCAGGTTCTTTGTCACTAGTAAGTGATCGCTGTATCCCGATCTAAATCCAGCTTGTTCTCTAGGTTGATAGAAATCTAATTTAGCGTCCAGTCTTTTTTTGATAATTTTTGTGAAAAGTTTATATATGTGTGAAAGCAAACTGATAGGACGGTAGTTTTTTTTTAAATCTGTTATGTCTCATTGCTTATGTAATAAAGTAATGACTGCATTATTCCATTGAGAAGAAGTTTTTCCTTGGTAGATGTATTCGGTGAAAAGCTTGGCCAAAGCCTGGATATCTATCCCCTACCGGGATCGCAGAGAAATATCTACCCACTACAAATAATAAGTTATTAAGTAGACATAATACAGATTAATCAGTATTTTTTTCAAATTGATCTGTGTTGGACTTGAAATGTTTTTAGTTTTGGCAAATATAGATAAGATTTTCGTCAAGATACTTCACCATGAATGTTGGCGGAACAGAAAAACGGACGAAAGAATACTATAATGATTTTATTAGTCCTAATTTATTGTCTTTATTCTAATTTATTAAAACTCACGATAATTTATCAAAAGTCTTTATTTTATACTAATTTATTTTACACTTAATAATTAGGTACAAATAATTTATTTGCGTTCGAACAATTTAACGCTAGATCGCGATCTTCTTGTTGACTGGCCTTGTTTTCAATGAGAATCGCCGTTATTTATTTGAAACGCCGTTATCTGGAAGGATCTGGCGTGAAGTAGACGGAAGTTGACCTGAATAGTCTCGAACCTGTTTCCAGAAAGATCGAGTAGTAGTTGACCGCTTTCATATCGAAGGGGGACCCATAGTATCACGTATGGGGTTTTTTTACTTGCGTCTCGGCCGGTTCGTGATCTAGAAAATACGTGATTAGTCATAATGTATTTACAGTTTTTACACGTCATAATATATTCATTATTTGTATTTTATTTATCGTAACAATACAAATATTTCTATTTGTGAATTTATTAATAACATTTTGAATATAATTTTACATATCTACCCTTAGTAACTATTGTAGTTGCTTTTGTAATTTATTATATTTATTTCGGAATTTAAGGGTTTGTTTATTAGGCGACAAAATGATGTTTGCATTTTAACTATTTCCAATTTTAATAAGAATACTGTTTAAGCATCACTTTAAATTAATGACTGGATAGTATATAATTTTAGATAAAATATTTAATACTAAATCGTTTTAGGATGGAAACGGCTCAATATATGTCTTTATTATGCAGTGAAGGTCTGATAGATGATCACCAGTTTCCAACAAATTATACATTTACTGAGAACTTTTATAATAGACTTGACGAAGTAAGTGAGTATACTCAATATGCAATTAGTAGTATAGGATATTTTTTTCTCAAGTACATAAATCTCAAATATTTTTTATAATTTATCTTTGAAGCTAATACACTCCGCCAAAAAAGTATCACATCACCCATGAAACTGCAAATTTTGTATTAAAAATAATTTAAAACATGGATTTTTTACTGTTGTTTTTTTTTGTTTTTTAAGTTCGTAACAAGTATTAAAAAAAATGCAAAATGTACAAAAAACAAAGGTTTTATTTAATTTATTTCATAAATTAAAAGTAAGCGCACAAACAGCATTGATTAAAAAAAAATAAATAAATAAAAAGTAATGATAATTTAGTAAGACGTATTGCCTTCTCTAGCTCTTATAACATCTAGATAACATTGTGGCATACTTTCGATTAATCTTCTTAGATAATCTTAATCGATATTATCCCATTCCACCGTTATCAATTGTTGCAGGTACTGAAGATTAGCTGGCGTCACATTACCAGATCTCACCCTTCTGTAAAGATGGTCCCAAACATGTTCTATTTAATTTTAGTCCGGGCTGTTCGCTGGACAAATGAAAACTTGTAAATTTACCTCTTGAAGGTATTCGGTAACGATTCTTGCGACGTGTGGGCGTGCATTATCATGCATTAAAACAAAACTATTACCAATAAATGAGGCGTAAGGAACAACATGCATCTCCAAAATTTCTCTAATGTACCTATCAGCAGTTAAAGATCCTCCATCTAGCTGTACCAATTCGGTTTGACCCCTCAGGGATATTCCGCCACAGAGCATAATAGATCCTCCTCCAAAGTTTGTCGCCGGTCTTAGGTTGCATTGAAAATATCGCTCGCCATCTCGTCTATAAACTGGTGTTCTTCGATCCGAAGTATATAAACAAAATCTTGACTCATCCGTAAAGGATATGTTACCCCAGTCGTCGATATTCCAGTTTACGTGCTCTCTTGCAAATGTTAGACGTGCTATACGGTGTTCCCTTGTAAGTCTCCGGGCAGTGGCAGCTACTCTGGCCCTAATTCCATACTGCCTTAAGAATGCTTAAGATGTGCCTAACAATTTCTGAAGACACACGTACATTTCGAGTCTCGGCTAAGTTATGTTGAGGTTGACTTGCAGTCACATGTCTTCGATGCAAAGTCTGAAGGATTAAAAATCTATTGTCCACATGCGTAGTTGCTCTTGACCGACCTGTTACAGCTCGTCTTTCATAAAGACCAGTCTCTCGGTACCTTACTACCACTCGTGATACTGCCGACTGATTTACACCGACTAAATTTGCCACATATCTCTGACTTCTTCCGTCTTCAATGAGGAAATTATTCTAACCATTTGATCTCTCGTTAAAATTAAATTTATACCATCACGACCTTACATACTCAATATTTTATACGAAATTTTAAATTAAACGCAAACTGTATACTTTTTACAAAAGTAAAATAAAGACTGATAATATAAAAACCAGACAAAATAGAAATTAACATTTTTTTTCTTAAATAGTAAGCTGTATTTACAAATTTCTTTTTAATATTTATTGTAGCCTTAATATTCTTAAGGGCCAAAAAGAAATAATTTAAATTAACCAAATATTGTCAGAAATATTTGTAATTTTATAAGTGATGCGATACTTTTTTGGCAGAGTATATTTCTAGATCTAGTTAGAGCTAGCTAGTCTAGTAAAACTATTCCAGAACAGAATCTTAATGGAACATAAATTTAAAAAGAATGAAAGATATCTTTCGTATTTACTACAGAAACTCGGTCAGTAGAATATGGAAATCTTATAATATACACAGTAGAAAACGAATCAAAGATGTGGAAGCTAAAGAATAAGCGGGATTCAGGGTAGGAAAATTATTAATTGATCACCTGTTATGTATTACTGGAATTATTTTCAAAAAATTGCCGACAACAAAGAGATGCATTTATTATATATTAATAAAACGAGATTAAATAAAACGAGCGGTTCGAATTTATATAAAATATTTTTATTTATAAGTTTACAGTTCGGTAATATCTTATCAACTAAACTTACCTCACAGAAGATATGCTTATATATAAATTTATTATGTACTAGAATATTCTGGAGTAGCCCACCTCTAATTCGTCTCATCGAAAGCATATTGAAGACGTGCGGTCTTGAAATGCCAACTCTTAGAGTTTTCTAGATTTATCCTTCTACGAATTGTGACACATACCATGTATCGGAGATGGGCTATTTCGTTACAATATGTATACCCTAGAAAAGCTTATGACAGCATAGCTTAGACTAAAAACAGTGGGAATCTCTAATAAAGAAATTTTAAATTAGTAAAGGACTAAAGCAAGGCTGTTATCTCTTATCAAAGTTATTTAAAATATATTTGTGACAAAACTTAAAACTTTGGGAAAACAAAGGCAAAAATATGAGGCTATCTATTAATAACAATATAATATTCACATTGAGATTTGCAGACGACTAACTTGTATTACAGCATTATAAGCAACACAATTAGAAAACCTGTGTTAGGTATGGTTCAAGTACCACAATATCTTTACTCGGGCTAAAAAATAAATAGAAATGATGATTTGTTTCCTCAGGTTTTCATAGCATCTCACATCTTCCGGTTTCTAGTTTTTATTATCGCCTCTCGTTCCAATCTTCATCTCAAAGATTCCTCTCCGAGATTGTTTTTTGAACGCCTCCTAACCATGTCTTTATTTTGGTTGTCCGTTTTTCCTTCTTTCAACTTATACTCATAATCAATATAGAAGTTTGAATGGCGATCTATTAACAACAAGAACATACGTACTAAATCGATGGTCGGAATATTTTAACCAGATACTTAATATAGAGGAAGAAGAAGAAAACCTGAAAGACGAAAGCTGTGAGGTAAGCGGAGCAGACGAGAGGGAGGAGAATCCACCAACGATCCTGGAAGTTAAAGACGCTGTAAACAAACTAGCCAGAAACAAATCACCCGGAATAGATAATCTCCCGGCGGAATTATATAAATAAGGTGGCCACGATATCATAATAGCGCTACAGCAGCTTATAAAAGAAATATGGATACAGAAGTCCCTTCCCAGTGATTGAAATATTGGAATACTTTGCACCATACACAAAAAGGGAGATATTTTTGAATGCTCTAACTATCAAGGAATTACGCTCCTAAATGCAGCGTATAAAATATTCTCCAATATATTATGCCATCGTATGGCACCGTATGCAGAGCGAATAATAGGACAATGCCAGGCTGGTTTCAGAGGTGGTAAATCAACAATTCATCAGATTTCCACCCTGAGACAAATTCTAGAGAAAACATTGGAATACGGTGTAGACACGCACCACATATTTATAGACTACAAGGCAGCCTACGACTATGTAAATAGAAGAGAATTGTTAAGAGCAATGATAGACCTAGGAGTACCAAATCAATTGGTAAGTCTAACCAAACTAACCCTTGAAAAAGTTGAATGCAGAGGACGAATCCAGGGGGAACTCTCTGAACCTTTTAATAAAAATAACGGGCTACATCAGGGAGACCCATTCTCCTGTATACTATTTAATCTAGCTCTAGAAAAAGTAATACGTACGTCACAAATCAAAACTACCGGTTTAATATATAACAAATCTATGCAAATCCTGATGCTGATGATATCAATATTGTTAGAAGAACGGAAAACGCAGCACGAGAGGCGTACCTATGTAGCCCTAAAGGAAGCGGCTGCAAAAATGGGTTAAATAATAAACATTAATAAAACGAAATACATGAAAATACGTCCGCAACCACAAATACTACGGCCACTTGTTATAGAAAACGACGTCATCGAAGCAGTTAATGAATTTGTATACCTGGGAACGCTCGTCAATACTGAAAATGACACTACCGCAGAGATAAACCGCAGAATTTGCACGGCTCATAGATGCTATTTTGGGCTTAATCTCCTTTTCAAATGTACAGTTATATCAAGAAATACAAACGTTAACTCTACAAAACATTAATACGCCCGGTCCTAACATATGGTTCAGAAAGCTGGACTTTAACAAAAAGAAATGAAAATATGTTAGGATTTTTCGAAAGAAAAATACTAAGGTGAATCTATGGAGCGGTAAATGAAAATAGTGTCTGGAGAAGACGATACAACTTTGAACTTTATAGAATATACCAGGAACCAGATATCGTAAAACACATTAAGATAGGACATCTGAGGTGGGTAGGCCATGTAATGCGGATGGAGTATCCGCTAGAAAGCTAGAACCCAGCTAGAAAAACGCTCCTTGATATACCTATTCGTCAAAGAAGAAGAGGAAGACCCAGAACAAGATTCCTAGATAACGTAGACCAAAATATGAGAAATATGGAAATACGGGCTTGGCGGAGGAAGGCGATGTAGAGACGACTGGAAGAGAATTCTTGGGGAGGCTAGGAACCAACACAGGGTTGTACCGCCAAAATGATAATGATGAACTTATACTCATTTTATTATTTGCTTAAGAAACTCTTTATTATCCATTCTCTGGGCATTGCCATATGGTAAAATTAAAAGGACATTTGTTCAACAAATTAGGATGGCAATCTTGCTACCATTTAGAGCTTACTAAGTCATGTAATTACATCCAACTTGAAGGACCACCCACCAGCGTGGGAAATAAGCACACAAGATGTTTAAACAATACGTAGTTTAATAATTGAATGTGACTACAACTAATTTAATATCTAGCCAAAGTTTTAGCGCAAGTTCTTTTATTGAAATCACCGATCACTGTCCACCTTACACTAGCAGCACACTAGACGAACACTGATACAGATTAAATGTTACTGGTAATTATTACTTTAACTAAGGATGTTTTATTCAATATTAATATACTTGATTAAGAATGATCGTTTAGCTTTAAACTATAAGCTATGTAACAATAAATAGGTATACTCAATACGCAAGAGTCTAAAATCTTAAAGCAGAAATGCGTCACAAACCACTAAGCAACAAGCGACCAGCTATGCTGGGATAAAATTTTATGCTAACTACTTAAAATTTTGATTTTTAATCGCCAAGCGATTTTCGGGTCACAACTTCGACATTTCTATACAGAGTTATGTAAAACCGACCTTTTGAATTCTGAAGAGGGACAGGGACAGGGAACAGGGGAATTTTCGGAATTGCTCGGAGAAAGTTAATCTGTGGGTAAAAATATATTTTCAATACATTATCGGCTTATATGAGAATTTGCTGGAGAATTTACCTCGGTAGATTTTAAGACGTGTAAGTTAATTGCTACCAGTGGCATAGCAACACTTGGATACTTATCCAGCCATACCAAATAAGTTGTCTGTGTTTAATTCCTTTAATAATAGTTGTTGAGACTTTCACTAATTGTAGATGTCGTTTTGTTCGGTGGGTATTTTTTCCAGTCTTGATTTTCTAGCAGATCTTTGCAAGCCAATGTTGCCATGCTTCGAATTCATACAGTACGATACTTTTAAAAATTGAGTTAGCATTCTTACTATACTTTTTTCTATTTCCTTTTTAGTCTGGCCAGTATAGTTAGCTGTTGTGCCTAAATACATCTACAAGCATTAATTAAAGTACTCTCATCTATGATCAGGTTTATTGTTGGGTTAGGTTGGGTTAGGTTCTCAAGGCACAGGTATTATGTATTTGACCAATTCACGTATAGACCCCATTTCTCATATTTTTTAGATAATTTTTTAGCCATAAATTCTAGGTGATCTTTGTCTTGGTCTATAATCACTTGATCATCAGCGATATGAAGGGTATTCTCCTCATTTATTTTTTCCACCCTGTCAGGGTAGTTTAGATACATTTTAAACAAAACCAGAGAAAGACAACATCCCTGCCTCAATCCTATATTCTTCTAGGGTATCTAGGTTTTTACTGGTAATGTATTGTAGATCAACAAATTAGAGACAGATCTCTTGGTTCTTTAATATTTTTTTTCAGTAAGTTGAGTTATATTAAAAATATTATCGATGTTGATGATAAGACCACTGTTTACAGTATTATAGAATTATAGGATTAGGATTACTTTGTTTTTTAGTTAGATACTACTGGCGAGTTAATAAAATCGTTTTTGTGTATTTATATGGGCACCATTCAAAATTGTTCCGAGATTTTTTCACCTATAATATTAGATGGAGGAGTTTGTTTTACTTTTAATATGCTAAACAGAGATGAAATATATAAACCTGACATGTAAGTAAATTCCAAAATTTCAGTTAATATACATCACTAGATACATGTTCTTATGTCTGAGATCTTACCTTTTACTTTATTATGTTTCTATTTATATAAATCTTACCAACTTCATTTACTTTTTTCTTTTACAATAACACCACCTGTATATTTATCTACATACTATACCTTCATTATATCGATTTTTGGAAACAGCCTGTGCTATTGTCAATTTTATCATGATCCTTAATATCTTCATTTAATCTCTTCTAGAGCTATCCTCTTTATTCGTCATAATAAAAGATTTACCATTTTTTTAGTTTCAGATTATAAGTATATTAAAAAAAGGAAAGAAATAGGAAATATAGGCCTAATCCAGAACAAAAAGTGAAAGATTAACTACAAGCAACTGCAACATATGTGCAGCTTTTATGCTATCTATCTAATTAGACTTCTTCGGTCCATCTTTGGACATAGGCCTCCCCATTCCTTTTCCATTCTTCTCTGTCTGTCGCTACGGTCATCCATCTAGAGCCCACGTGCTTCTTGATATCATCTGCCCATCTCATTTGGGGCCTTCCTCTGCTTCGTTTATATTCCCACGGTCTCCAACTTATAAGAATTTTGTTCCATCGGTCTTCTTTTTGTCTTATATTGTGTCCGGCAAATCTCTATTTCAATTTTGCAACTTCTTGTCTAACATCCCTCACTTTTGTTTTCTCTCTTATCCACTCGTTTCTCTTCTTATCCATTAGTCTTATGTGCAACATTTGTCTTTCCATTGCTCTTTGGGTTTTTATGATTTTGTCCATGTTTGCTTTTGTAAATGTCCACGTTTGGGAGCCATACGTAAGAACAGGGATTACGCATTGATTATATACTTTGGTCTTAAGATGCTGTGGATATCTTTTGTTTTAAGAATGTAAATGCCGCCCATGCCAGTCTAACTCGTCTCTTGATCTCTGCTGTTTGGTTCTCTTTGTTAAGGTTTGTAGTTTGACCAAGATATATATATATATATATATATATATAAATAAATATATATATATATATATATATATATATAAATATATAAATATATATATATATATATATATATATATATATATATATATATATATATATATATATATATATATAATCCTTAACTTGTTCTATTTCATCTTGTCCGATTCTCATTGTGATGTCTTCATCTGTATTTGTTATAGTTTTGGTCTTGCTGTAATTCATATTAAGGCCTATCTTTCCAGCTTCTACGTCCAGTTCTTTCATTATTTCAAATAATTCTTCTTTTTTATTGGTTATCAATACGATGTCATCAGCGTACCTTAGATGGTTCAAGCGTTGTCCACAAATTTTTATACCTTTTTTTTCCATTCTAATCGTTTAAAAGTATCTTCAAGAGCCTGATTGAAAAGTTTCGGTGATATTGTATCACCCTGTCTCACGCCTCTACTTATTTGTAATGATATTTGTAGTGCTATATAAATATAAATATTTAGTCAGAATTATATGTGTCAAAGAAAATTAACAGAAAGTTAAAAGAAAAAAGGGCAAAGGATAATAATGTTTGGCCATAAAAGAAGCTGTAAAATATTGGCAACATTTATTTCTTGGCAAAGAGTTCTTAGTATACTCAGATCACAAACCTTTAGAAAATTTAAACATAAAAGCTAAAACTGATGAAGAATTGGTAGACTTGACATTTTACGTATCTTAATATAATGTTCAAGTAAAGTATAATGCAGGAAAATATAACCAAGAAGCAGACTGTTTAAGCAGAAGTCCAGTTCTAGAATCTCACGAAAATACAGATGAAATATTAAAAGTAGTAAACCTAATCAATCTGGAAGATATAAAAAAGATCAACGCTCAAATAATAATCTACAAAATACTAAGAATAAATAGACCTTCACAAATGACATATATTATAAAAAGTCAAAAAGAAAAGACAGAATTATTTTATCAGAAGATTTAAGTAAAGCCTTAATTAAAACTATACACGATACTTACCGCCACTTAGAAAAACACAGATGTTAAATAAAATAACACCTTTTTACACAGCCAAAAATATGACTACTAACGTTAAGAATATGTGGGATAATTGTAATATCTGCATAGAAAATAAATCAAGAAGGAAATCTAAATATGCTTTATTGTCGCAGTTAGGACCAACGACATATCTATTTGAAATTGTTTCGATCAATACCATTGATGAATTGGGAGGATCTCGATCAACAAAAAAAAATTTAGTAGACCATTTCTCAAGATACGCTTATATTTTAGCATCTAAAACACAAAACGCTAATGAGTTCATAAAAATAATTAAAAAGGTGACACAAAATAATTAAACTAAAACTGTGTTGACTGATCAATATCCTGGCATAAAGAATTTAATGATTTTCTACGGAAAAATCAAATTAAGATGATATTCACTGCTGTTGATGTAGCATTTTCAAACGATATCAATGAAACTATAAAAAAATCTATAAAACCTTAATTCAACCAATAGCATACTATGGCAGGGAAGCATGGGTTCTGAAAGAAACTTTCAAAAACTCGTTACATTCGAAAGGAAAGTACTGAGGAGAATACTAGGACCTGTGAGGGAAAACGGAATCTTCAGAAATCGATACAGCAACGAGCTTTATTAACTTTATAAGAAAGCACCACTGTCAGACTTCATTACAATACAAAGATTGCAATGGGCCGGAGATGTGATAAGAATGGGAGAGGATAGGCTACCAAAAAAGCAGTAATGCTAGAATGCAGGAAAAGAGACCGGTTGGAAAGCCAAGAAAGCGCTTGGAAGACATAATAAACAGCGACGTACAACCCCTTTTAGGAATCCGTGTATGAAGTAGATCAGCCACAGACAAGCAAGAGTGGAGACAAAAAATAAAGAAGGCCAAAGTTCAATTTGGGCTGAATCAATGACAGACTAAACCAAACATTGGCTAATAAAATAAGATCCAAAATAAATGAAAGTGATAAGAAAACAGCATGGACAACAATTGCCCAAGAATATGTACAAAAATATAACGAGATACAATGTACAATTACTTGAAATGATAATTATTAATTAATGGAAACCGTTTAAACAGAAAGAAGTTAGATGAACTAAGGATTGGACTATACAAAATATTAAACAAGATTTCCAATTTAATCTACGAAGTTGAAATTGGGTATAGGAGCATGGGAAACACCGAATCAAACCTTTTTCATCTCACTAAACTTATTCCAGTGTTGAAAGAGAACATTCACTAAACAGTTAATCGTTTTTCTCCAAAGCTGAAGTAGGAGGGTAGATGTAAGATTGAAGACACAAACATTATATATACTCAGTAGTTATCCAATATTATTATCCGTAGGCAATGATCTGCCATTCTCTATACATATCCGTACCGAATAAGCTGTTTTTGCTGTATTTCTGTATTTCTTCTATGGTGGTTGTTGTTCTCTCCAAGATTTGTCTTATTCTTTCATTTGTTGCGTGCATCACTCTGGATATATCTGCCTATCTGTGCCAAAAATCCATTTCCAGTACAATAAAGTACAATACTTTTAAAAATGCTATTATATACCTGTAAAGTTATATGTTTAGAGATAGTTTTTGACCAGAGTAGTGAGTGTAGTGCGCCTATTATTTTTTCCTTTTATAATTCGTTCTTCTATTGCTGTTTCAGTGAGTCCATCTCTTTCCATCTATGCCTCCAAATAAATATATTCGGAACATGACGAAATTACACTTCCATCTTCTATTCATCATATATATGTATGATGTATATTATGTATGTAACCATATTTTTTATTTTATTTCAGCTATCATTTTCAATTCTATCATTCATTACAACCTACAAGTGATTGGACGAATGATGAAGGATATCGGCCAGATAGTGGCAAAGACGTATATCCAAGAAGAGCTTTACAATCAGGAGTGGACAATGCTTTAAATTTAATATTTATTGAAATGTCCCAAGATACAGATTATTTATGTTTTGAAGATGTTGGATACACTGTGAGTGCTATAAAAAGTATATCAGTCAAATACAAATTTTCATTTGACATTTTTTATTTTATATATCAAATTTATAAAGGAAAGTGTAACTATAATACATTTTAAAACCTTCTTTAAGTGCCGTCTCCCAATCGGAGGTTGGATATCATCATCACTATCTTTACTTTATTTACTGCTGCTCTGAAGAGTTCTATAGAACTGCATTTAAACCAGTCCCTTAAATTCTTCAACCACGACACTCTCATTCTTCTTATACTCCTTCCTTCTCTTATCTTTCTCTGTATTATTAACCTTGTCAGTTCATATCGCTGTCGTCTCATTACGTGTCCCAGATATTGTAACTTTCTTGTTTTTGTTGTGTTTATTATTTCGCATTATTTGCCCATTTCTCGCAATACTTCCGTGTTAGTTTTCTCCTGTGTTCATGCTATTCTAAGCATCCTCCTGTAACACCACATTTCAAAGGACTGTAAGTTATTTATGTGTTCTTGCTTCAATGTCCAGCTTTCAAGTCCATATTGCAATATCGAAAACACGTAGCATCTCAGTCCTCTTACTCTCAGTTCTTATCTAAAATCTTTGTTGCAGAGAATTGTTTTCATTTTTACAAACGCATTTCTTGCTATTTCTATCCTAGCTCTTATTTCGGTTGTTTGATCATTATTGTCTGAAATCCAGGTTCCTAGGTATTTATATTTATCAATCCTTTGTATTGGTACATTTCCCAAATGTATGTTTGTTGGTATATTTGTTTTCATTCTTATTATCATGTATTTGGTCTTTTTTGTATTCATTTTTAGTCCATATTTTTCACAGAAACTGTTTGTTTTGTTTATAAGTAATTGGAGTTGTTAAGCAGAGCTTGTCATAATCACGGTGTCATCTGCATATCTCATGTTGTTAATAGATCTTCCGTTAATTATTATTCCTTCACTTTGAGATAGTAATGCTTCTTCAAAAGTGGCTTCGCTATATACATTAAATAATAATGGGGACATAATACATCCCTGCCTAACTCCTCTCCTGATTTCAATTTCTGAACTAAATAACTTCGTTATCTATTGCGATTCGTGCTCTTTGATTCCAGTCAAAGTCCCTATGGTCTATGTTTTTTGTCTTTAGAATTTGGACTAAGTTTTCATGTCTTACTTTGTCAAATGCTTTTTCAAAATCAACGTAACAAACATGCACCTCAACATTCATATTAATGCATCTTTGAGCTAACACATTAAAAGCAAATAAGGCTTCTCTGGTTCCTAGTCCGTTTCTGAACCCAAACCGACTATCATCTACTCCTTCCAGTTTTTTATTTATACGACCATGTATTATTTTCAGGAATAATTTGAAAATGTGACTTATTAGTGATATTGTTCTGTATTCACTGCAATATTTAGCGTCTGTATTTTTAGGGATAGCACAAAAGGTGAAGAGTAACCATTGTTTCATTCTAAAACCATAAACCCATAAATTAAAATTCTTTATTTGAGTTCCTCATATAGGATTTAAATTTTAACTTTTGTTTGATTCTTTTGTGATAAGGGCAAATAATTCATATCTTATTTTCCAGATTACTGTACATGCTCCGAACGCAGTTCCACAAACACGTAAAGACTTTTTTATATTGCCCTTGGATACTTCCTTTCATATAATGCTTCAACCGGAACTAATAACAACATCTAAAGTGGTAAAAGCATACAAAACCGAAGATAGAAAATGTTACTTTTCTGAAGAGAGAAAACTAAAATATTTTGTTGCATATACTCAACAGAATTGCTTCATGGAATGTGCAACTAACTATAACGTTGGATAAGTGTTTGTGTGTTAATTTTTTTATGCCACGTAAGTAGGAATTTAGTAAGGTTTCAATAGCTCTTAGAATTTAAACGTGTAGCCCATCGACGGTCTATATAAATTTAAAATATGCCGCCTTTAGAATTTATAATTTGCATTTTTTAACGAACTTGTTATTTTTGTTTCTTTATATAACAGAACTGACGAACTGATAAAAATATTAAATTGACCATCGTATAGTAAACAATAACTATTACGAACAAACTGTAGATTTAAGAGTTGGAGATCAATTAACGGACGATGTAAAGATAAAACGAGGTGTGCGACAGCGATGTATACTGTCTTCATTATGAATCAATATTGATATAGACGAATAAATACGTATAAATGAAGAACGACTGAACTTGTTATTTGGCTGTGAATTAAAACGAACAATAGGAACACTCTACACTAAAATTAAGATAAGGGTCGAAATGGCAAGATCAGCTTTTATAAAAATGATCGGAGCTCTTGGCAGCTATACTGCTGACTGATCTAGTCACCTTTGTCAACGAGTCTAGTCCAATTTTCATGCTCGCTCTGTTTTGACAAGATTGGAACTCCTGGCAGCCATATTGCTGGCTTATCTAGTCACCTTTGTCATAGGGTTCTCCTTCCGATCTTCCGATATTTGATCTGACTCTACGATTGCGCTCCCTTGAGCTAATTTTTCTACCCATAAATTGTCAATCGTATTGAACACATACAATAACTGATACCATACTCTACTCAGCATTATATGCCTTTTAATCAACACCTCTCTGATTGTGTTAGTCGTTGTAATGTGAGCGTAGCAAGTGAGTGGGGAGTTGGAATAAAGGGCTAAGTAGCATAGAAAAGATAATAATTATTCGAGATAATTACTATATATTCCGAATTAAATAAGGGATAATTAATACAGTTAACTTATACATTTAAATTATACAAAGTATAACAATTTGACCTAGTTTGATACAAGCACGAATGTTTAAGAATTACGAAATCAGAAGACCTTCATGAAAAGTAATACAACGAAGCGACACACCATCGCATGTTACATTCCAACACGTGGAATAGTACAGCAGAAATAACAAAACAAAACTAAAAATGTTGCGGGACATAAAAACTGAAAAACTTGGTCAATCGAGTAGTGGTAGTACGGGGAGCACTCAAGGCAGTAATTGATGAGCTCCGGCTCGGACGCGATAGCGTCCAGTACGCGATCAGTACGAGGCAGTCGGTAATTCTCCGGGGAGCGCTTATCATCCCGGCATAGTATCTCGTGTAGTCCGGTTATTGTGGCAGCTCGTAAGTCCGTAACTCAGGAGAAGACCCTCAACTGACCGAGTTCCAGAGGACCGACACGTGTCGTGGTTGAAAGCCTAAATACACATAAGGTAACAGATTTCTATATACTAACCTGAGTAATTATAATAGTACAACTGTCAACTCTTCACTATCTTGCTTCATCGTCTCCCGACGCGCAGAATGTCGTGTTAACGATTGTATTTGTAACTTCAGGGTAAATTCAATATATTGTAGACTCTAAATTGGTTTTTTTAATGTTCCTTTCATCCGACTCATTAGAGACTAGGAGAATACGAGATTCTGCTTATGCATATCTCCGGCTTCAAAAGTAAGCCCATAACCTCTGCTCTTTACAGGACCTGAGACCTAGGAGTCCTTACCCCTATCCCGAAAATCCCTTATCTTCTCGTAAATCCACGAAGACGACCCAGCCCTCCAGACTAGTGTGACCAGTATTCCTTGCAGCCGCTCGCAGGGTTAGCATCCCTTGAGGATCGATTGTGTATTACATTTGGTGACAGCGTTTTCCTTACCTTCACATAAAATCCCATTTGTATTACGTTACAGTGGTGACAGCGGAGTCGCCTCAATTATTACATCGTGTTTTATCACCGGCACAATTATTACAATTTTCACCGAACTGACATTTTCCTACCGTGGATCTCGTCGAAATATCATTACTTCCCGGCTGTCATTGCAGACTTAAAATGCGACACCACGCCGAGATTTCGACGCTGTTCTTCTTCTTGTTTTTTGCGCACTCCATGGAATTCATATAGGAAAAGGGGCCAACGGTATTGTGTATGACACAGTCTTTCTAGTTTAGTCGGTCGAAAAAAATTCTACTGATTCGACGCTATTCTTTTATAATTGATGACGTTGTACGCGTTGTTAATCTGATTACATTCAGATGGCATCCAACAATGTTCTGTGGTCAAAATATGACCGCTGCTTATTGGTCAATTCATATTTTATTCTTACTTAGTTCTTAATTAGTATATCGATCTATTCATATACTATTCTTTATACTTATGCTGTCAGCTGTTCTTAAAAACATTCATTTTTGGAGCGTGAGAATGTTTGGGAAAGTATGTATTATTTTGTTTCATATTTTTACATTTAATATTTTCTGTTACGGTACTGTAATGTAATCTAATTCAATGTTGTATTCTAACGACTTTATTAAAATATATTACATTTTGTTATTTCGTAAAATTTAACTGGCTATCTCATCTATTATGTTTTAAGTACGGAGAATTTGGCTTTCTCTTTTGTATTTTGTGTCACAAAGGCAGAAACAAGTGTAAGGTTTCGTATTACCGTGACAATTAACTTAAATTATCGCCATTCAAAATCGTCCAACAATAGGGTTGATTTATGGCATGCTCTTGCCCACGAGCTGTTGACCACCCAACGGTCAGAGGGTGGTTTTTGCCCTAGTAACGATATATCAAGACATCTACTTCAATATACACTTCATCACGAGATAGCGAACGAAACACAACCAGTGATCGGTCCTCGTGCTATCGAGGCCAGCGGGCGTCCCGACGTGGTGCCAACGAGATTACCCTGGTTAAGAATCTTACAACATCAATATTTCAAGGGGTAAGTCTATATTCTTTGTACAGACAACAATAATGAGTAAGACCAGTTAAATTCGTAATATATTCACAATTGATAGTTGCTATTTTTCGGTAATTTATTTACAAACAAAATATTGCATTTTTTCTTCATTATTATTTATCTAATATCATTTAACCAGCGACCTCTTAAGTTTTATACCAAACAGTGACAAAATGGGATATAAAATTCGTTTACTACAATGCTACGTATTCTCGGTGCATTTATATGGAGTGGGTTTATGGACCTTAACTGAAGAGACTCGAAGAATGTGGTGCAATAGAAACGTGTCGATAGATAAATCGTTATATTTGCAATATAGCGATGTATTATTCGAATATTTATTTCTACAGTGTTAACCAAAATTAGTTTTTCATTCTATTTTACTTCGGACTACTATTAGTATTATTATATATTAGACTACTACTATTACTACTACTATTATTATACTACTTATTCTATTTTTTTCATTCTAATACTAAACGGACCTTATACAAAATTAACAAAAAATCCAACAAAGTCTTTGGAAAGCAAAATATATAGAACTTTATTCAAGTTTAAAGATGTTTTAACAAGTTATCAGAGAGGATTAATTACACCTCATTACAGTAAGAATCCTCATTTTTATGGAGTACCGAAAATTCATAAAACGAATATACCACTTAGACCCATTTGTAGTACCATGTATTCTCCTTGTAGTGAACTATCAAAATTTTTATTAAATATTTTAAAACCATTTACAAATAAAAATGACACATTCATAAAAATACACAACATTTTTTAAATAAATTATCAAATATTGAATTTAATTCAAATCATACTTTGGTAAGTTTTGACATAAATAGTTTATTTACGAATGTGCCATTAAATAAGACTTTGAGTATAGTCAAGACAAAATTAGAGAGTGATGATTCATTGGCAACTAGAACAAGACTAAACATATCGGCTATAATGGAGATATTAACACTATGTACTGATAATACATATTTTTAACTAAATAATGAATTCTATAAACAAAATTTTGGTCTAGCAATGGGCTCGAGTTTATCTCCATTCTTAGCCGATATATTTATGGAAGATTTTGAAACAAATATCATTTCTAAACAAAATTTCAGACCCACAGTATGGTGGAGGTATGTAGATGATGTATTCTCAATATGGCCTAATGGATCAGAGTTTTTGTTTGTTGTTTGTTTGTGTTTAAATGACTGCGGACACTAAATCCATTCGCCAATCTTTACAATTTGAGGTGTAGTGTGTGTGTGTGTGTGTGTAGAGTAATTGTCTTGATACTTAGCAAAGTCGACGTCATTGTCTTTGCTAAGAGACGCTAATTGCATCCGAACGTCTGCGGTACCTCCGGTGTGTACCGATCACACAAGGATAGAAATTATTTTCATTTATTAATTTTTTTTTTAATAAACGAAAATTTCCACCCAGGTGGGATTCGAACTCACGACCTTTAGGTTTAAAGGCAGGCGCTCTTACCACTGAGCCACAGAGGGGGTTATGGATCAGAGTTGTTGGACACATTCCTAAATGATATAAACGATAAAGAAGAGACAATAACATTTACCATGGAAAAGGAATATAATAACACGCTACCTTTCCTGGATGTTTTAATCTCTAAGAACGATACTGGATATGAGACTCAGGTGTATAGAAAACCAACACACACCAATATATATTTAAATTTCAAATCAAATCACAATATTAATGTAAAAAAGGGAATAATTAAATCCTTATACGATAGAGCCAAAATTACTTGTTCTAATGAAAATTCGTTCTTGGAGGAGAAAAATTTGTTAACATCTGTTTTATTAAAAAATGATTATCCTTTATCGTTTATAAATAAGGAATTTTCAACAATCGATCGAATAGAACAGAACAACTTAGAACGAGATCCTACAGCATACACAAGGAATAATATGAGGAAAATAACAATACCGTACATAAAAGGACTATCAGAAAAACTTAAAAGGATAGGAAATAAATTCAACATTTCAACAAACATTCAAAACAACAAACACGTTGAGATCTATTTTGTCCAAAACCAAACCTAACAATGAACAAGAAAGGACAAATAATTGCATTTGTAAAAT